GCACCCACAGGCCCCAGGCATGTGCTTGTGGCCTCTGGTCCTGCGAGGCCGCCATCTGACTCGCCTGAAAAGCGCTTTGCGCCCTTGGGGTCTTGGCCGCCCCCTCGTTCCTCAGCTGCTCTGGAAGCTCGTGACCGGAAAGGGGATCCCAGGGGCTAGGGAGGCCCGGGGGCAGCGAGAGAAAGGCACCGGGCCGAGTGGCGGTGCTCTCCCCCAGGCATGTGCTTGTGGCCTCTGGTCCTGCGAGGCCGCCATCTGACTCGCCTGAAAAGCGCTTTGCGCCCTTGGGGTCTTGGCCGCCCCCTCGTTCCTCAGCTGCTCTGGAAGCTCGTGACCGGAAAGGGGATCCCAGGGGCTAGGGAGGCCCGGGGGCAGCGAGAGAAAGGCACCGGGCCGAGTGGCGGTGCTCTCCAGGGCAGCTGAAGCCCTGGCTTAGGTCTCCCTCCCCAAGCGCTGCAGACGCCGGTACCACAGTACCGGGCTGTGCATGGGAAAGAAGCAGGGGGCAGAGCCGGAACGCGGCTGCATCCACCCGGGAGGCCGCACAAGAGCAGAAGGCTAAGGGGCGGGGGAGGGAGGCAGCAGGTTTTCGTCTTCCGAGGGCTGCCCCCGCACCCCGGCGTGCCAGACGGGACCGGGCAAAGTCCACACCTACATGCCCCTTGTCGTCCATCTCATTGTTGGTGAGTTTCACCCTGTCGAAGCTGATGATTTGCCTCATCCAGGTCTCTCCCGAGCAGGGGGAATCGGGGTGGATGTAGAGCCTGGGCGTTATGCAGGAGTGGTCCGTGTTCCCAGCCACCATCCACTGGGAGCTGTGGTAGACGTACCTGCAAGGGAGGGCACAGCCGGGTCACCGGGCAGTTGCAGGGCCCGGCTCCTGCAGCCAGGCCCAGGCAGGGTCGGAGGCTGCCGCCGGAAAGGGGCAGCAAGCAGGGGCCCGGCGGGGCTGGCTTGTGTTTGCATCGCGGGGGGAGGCAGGGGAGGCCGCCGAAGCAGCGCAAGGAGGCGCTGCCCCCGCGGGCGCTCCGCGTATCCACACGCTCGGCCGCTCAAACAAACGCGTTTCTGCGGGGCTGCGAGTCACAACAGCGAGGCCGGAGTGTCCGGCTGCGCCCGGCCTCCGCCTTGGCATGTGGTGGGGGCGGGGTTACCCGGCTCCCCTCTTTTCCTTCCTGGGTGCGGGATCCCAGCTCGTTCAGCGCCTGGCGCTGGCGGCGAGTAGCTGGGGCCCGCAGCCCCGGGCAGCGCTAGGTCCCTTGCACCGCCAGTCCCGGCGGGCGGATTGCGCCGGTGCGTGCCCCGGGCAAGGCTGCGGGTTGTGTCCTTTGCGCTCTCGCGCCCCGCTCTGACCCTGAATCTCTGTAGCCCAGGAACAGCCATTGTCACTCGGGAGCCAGGGCCGGTCGGGGACTGCGGGGCGAGCCGCACGGACCCGCCGAGCTGCCCCCCGGCATCCCCTGGGCTCCAGGCCTGGGAGTGGATGCTTTGCCCTGCCCGGGTGTGCGCGCCCGGGGATGGACACGGGAACACCGGCAGGCAAAGCCCCGTCCGGGCCTGCGAGCCCCCAGCTCCGAGACGCCCTTGGCGGGGAAACCCTGCAGAGCCGCCGCTGGCGCTGGGCACTAGCGAGTGTCATCGAAACGGGGTAGCTCGGAGGGGGCTCAGCTATTTGTGAGCGGGGCTCCTCTTTTATTCCGCTCCCTCTAAGCAGCGACCGCGGGCAGGTGGTGGGGCCCTTCGCTGGCGCGGGTTGCCTGCTAGTTCCTCTAAGGACCGTGCAGGGTCTGGGCTGGTTTGTTTTCGCCGTAAAACGCACCGCGGCATCTGGCGAATCCGTTTCTTTACCTGTATCTTTTGGAGTCCACAGGGACCACGTCAATTGCGATGTAATATTGTTTCACTGGCTCCAGGCCCTTCACTTTCACCCTGACAGAGGGAAACATTCTCCTGCGGATGTAGAAAGGAGCCCGTTATTCGCCCGGCTCGGGTTGATGCTGGTCACAAGGGGGGAGTTTCAAGGACAAAGCTCGCATTTTAAAAGTAAAACAAGATTTTTTTTATTACATAATCACTTTCGAGAAATGGGAAATGGGATTGCACGGAAAATACGGGGAGTGAGACCCTCTGTATCCGTGTGGTTGTCGCTCTAAGAGCAAAACACAGCCCAAAACGTGAGCAGTTACATATCTGTTATGCGAGGGTGTTAGCAGAGATAAGGGGCATTTAGCTGTATATAAACCCTTACAGTAAGATTTACTAGACGGGAAATATTAAGGTGTATGAATGAAAAAATGATCGCTGTATTAAAACAATTCCACTGACCCTGGTTTCTAACAGTAGGATAAACACCCGCATTTGTGGTTAATATTTGTAATTTTCATATCGATATGGCTAATACCCGGCATGAATAAACTATATAAAAGAAAACACCTATCAATGATGGGCTGCATGAGACCGTTTTGAACATTAAGTATGAAGAGGTTCTAGACAACTATCGCATTTAACATACATGACTGCACGCTACTACGCTTTGTACACGCTTTCCTAATGGTTTAGTTCTGGTCCCGTTGCCAAACCTTTGCCAAATGGCTTTAACGAATGGATTGTGTTAAAAGTTTCATATCTGACCGTGCTCTCTGCTGAGCTTCCCGGCGTGTCTGAAGCTTTAGCACGAGCGATCGAAAGCACAACCCACGTTTTTCAGAACCTGGGTTTCCCTGGGCCACAAGACGTCCTACGACTATCGCTCATAGCTTGCATCCAGACCCACGGGCCCACGGCAGCTTTGGTGATAATCATTTCCGTGCCGATCTCATGAAACCTTTTCCAGAGTTCAGACCCTTGCAGTTCCACTTGGACGTCCTCCTTCGCTTCTCGGCCCTCGGCACTCGCCGAGAAAGAAGCCGACGCGTCTGCTTTCGGCCTCTTTTCTGCCATGAACAGAAATGAGAAACATTTACACGGTTCCCGTTAAGAACAAGTTCTCCGCATGCACAGAAATGCCCCCTCCCTGGTCCCGGAGTTGGCCTGCGGAACCCCCACCCCGGGCAGGGCCGCTGCAGGGCTGAAATATTTAATCAATTATACAGACTATTTCGGATTACTCTACATCTAGACTAAGCCTCCGTCCGCTGCGAGCGCCTGGAGATTAACCGGGCCCGGGGATGGGAAAGGAAAGGTTCCTTTCCGGGGCAGCTGGCACAAACCCTTCGCTGTCAAACCCAAACCGGAGCTGAGGGCTGCGCTCTCTTCTCTTGCTACCGGCTTGCGACAGCAACGGGAACCCGCCCAGGTGACACAGGGCGTCCGGGGAGTTTAGTCAAACAACCGGGCAGGTTCTTCGGTCTGTGTCTTAAATCTGTCGGTCTGGCCGGCGGGTGCGGCTCAGATAGTGTGCGGGTGTCACACGGGCCCCCCAGTTGGTCTGCATAGATCTAAACAGGCTCCTGAAGCTCTCCCCCCGTGGCCTGGCTCGGAGACTAACTGCGGAATTGGAGCCCTTGTTGCGGGTGTGCGGGAGGCGTTTAGCGCTGCGCCCAGCTCCCGTCCGCCACTATTTAAAGAGCAAAAACGCGGGGTACGAACCAGGTTCCTGGCTTTTCTCTCTCGCTCTGCAGCCAGTCCCGGCCTCCTCGCCCTTCTCTGTGCGGGGCTCTTGTTTCTCGTCTCTCAAATCGGGCAGTTTCCTCTTCGCGGATTTCCCCACTAGGGCTTCAACAGAGAAGGCGTGAGCTCGGGAGCTGAGAGCCATCCCGGCGCAGCGAGGATCCCCCAGGGCGGAACTTCAAGCCTGGTCCTTTAAAAATGGAGAGGAAATCCCCCAGGCTCCTAAAACAGAACTAAAAGCCCCCGCGGGCAGGAGCCGTAAGGTTTCCCCTGACAGCCCTTCCCTCGCACTCCTTCCGCATCCTGCATGTGGGCACCCGCGTCAGGTTAAATCCCTCGATTTATTCCTCCCGCTGGCTCTGCGAGATTGGCGAGGGGAGGAATTTTTAGGGAACAGACCTGCCCTCGCTGGCAAACGGAGTCGCTCCGATTGGGGAGCAGCCGCGCGAGAGAGATACTGTTGCATCCAACTGAATCAATAGACGGCTGCAGCCACCACTGTTTGTTTTGGAAATTGTTGAGAGCGTAAAAAACACTGAGTGACAGTTCCTAGGGCTACAGAAAAAAGGGGGGTAAGAAAAGAGGGGGGAGGAAGTGGGGAAAAATGGGAGTCTGCCCCGTCTAGGATAAATCAAAGAGGTTACTGTTCTGCATTCAATTGTAAAAGCCAAAGAAATGTGACATAATTGCACGCTAGGGGCCACTTTTCCAACAAAAGTGCAAATAATGTTTAACCAGAACCAGCAAAAATCTCTCTAGGCTTTTGCTACCCCAATTAAGACACAACGTGTGTGATTCACTTAAGCTGCCCTGCCTCTCCTCCCCTGAAACCCAAACGGGGCTATTAAAGCAAACCAACGTCTTGTTTGCTTTGAAAGCACAGCGAGCCAAACTTCTCCCAGGTGCAGGGGACTCCTTGGGGTGTGCCAGTAAGAGCAAGACGAAGGACTTTTAACAGCATCGAGGATGTAACATTTACACGTATCGGCTTCCAAGGCGGGACAGGGACACTGCATTGCCGCCCGCAGCAGATTAATGGGGAGGGGAGGAATAAAAAAAATTCAAATGCTTCATTTAAATTACTAATTGGAATAACGTCGCGGTGTTGCAGATGTCCGTGGACCCCAGGCAACGCTACAACACAGAGCTGCAGAGACAGGGATAATAAAATAGAACAAAGTTACCAATTGTCGGAACAGACATTCCCCCATTTCCAGAGGGACAAAAATACAACCTGAGCCCTGCAAAGCCGGAGCCAGCCGAGGGGACGGTTCCTCGTCTTTGGAACGATTTCACGAATTCTAGTGACTGAGTTTCCAAGTATTACAACTATCTTCTTGCTCGGAAATGTTATTGCACAGCGCCTTAATACAACCTCCATCCCGCTAAACATGTGACAGAAAGGGGAATAACCTGGGTTTAGCCTTGCTAACCAATTTAAACGCATTGCAATTCACGCCTTGAGGATCAGAGTATGGCTCTTTTATCCTAATCCAAGATAAAAATGCTATGTCATGTATTGAGAATATGTGAACTGTTATGGAAAGTAGAGATTGGATACCACTGTTTATAGTTCGGCCAATATATGTTATAATAAATATCACAAAATCAGCAACTGATTCGTAAAGAGCCTTAATTTTAAAACCAAACCAAAGAGTAGGATTTATATTCTGCCTTTAATCCAAATCCTCCTATTTATATAAATCCAATTTCTGCAGTGCACTAGCCACTTTCATTCCGGGATCTCAAAGCGCTTTTCAAACCTCCCGGATCCGGGCGGTGGTAGGTAAGAACGGTCTGGTCTCGTGTGGTTAAGGATGCTGAGATGGGATTTCACTATTTTTAGTTTCATCAGATGACAACTCTGCCGCGGTGTCTGTGCGTCTGATACACCGGCACACACCTTCTTAGAAGCCAGGCACAACGAGCCGCCGGACAAGGACGCGCCGCGTGTTTGAACAGGACCCTCTCCCCAACGCCAGGCTCCGGGCGATGGAAATAACCTGCCCCGGCAGACAGAGCGATCCGGCCTTTGCCAGCGACCTGCACGGAGGCGTTTGGGCGGGGGAGGGGGCAGAAGCCACTTTCCAGCCGGGCACCTGGCACCTGAGCTCCAGCTGGACCTGGGGCACTGTCCGGGAGCTGCAGCGCGCGCACTCCCACGTGGGGGGCAAACGCGTGTTAAATTGCACGGGGGTGGCTTGTGTGCGAGCTCCGGAGCGAGGGCAAAGTTCCCCCCAGTGAACGGCTGGAGTTTACACCACGCCTGATGGGGTCAAGAGCCCTTGAAGTCTCCAGATCAACTGGAGAGAGGAGTCCGCGTCTCCCATCCCGGCCCCGACCCCTTGCCTAGCGCCCCCAGATGTTAAACTCCAGGGGCTTTCAGCGAGAGTGCTTCGGCGGATCGCAACTGCCCCAAAGACAGGTCCCCTGGTAGCCGGGGCCTGCCCTGGCCGTGTATCTTAATCGACTGCCCTTCAATTCAGTGACACGGATTATTCACCCTGGCCTCTGACGCCAGCCTTTGCAAATCTCTGCCTGGCTCCGCAGAGGCGCCTTCGAAGCTTTGCTCTGGGCGCTGGCTTCACTGCCCCCAACGCATTAATTGCTCCTTTTTGAAGGAGAAGGGGCAGCAGCAGCTGAGCTGACTGCCACACCAGGCTCTGTAGTGGGGAGATTTCCAGACCTTTTTCATGAAGACATTGAGAATTGGAGGTGTCTGTTCCTGCGGGGATTTCGTGTTTGTCTAAACTCAGAGACATTGGACCAGGCTAACAAGGGAGGCTGTGGAATGCCCCTCACACGGGGCACGGGAGGGGGGAAGGGTTAATTACATTATACAAAAAGCTTGAACGTTTACAGCTTGGCAAACTGAGGCATGGAAAAGTTTAAATGGTTTGTCCAAAGACGCATAATTCAGATGTCAAGAGTGTTCTCACACTCTTCACTCCCCCTCTTAAACACACAGCCTTAAATACACAGAAATGGTTTATCAAGGCATACAAGGATAATTTTATTTTCATAATAATTACTGACCCCAGTATTTGGGGCATTAGAGTCTAGTGTCACTGTCAACTTTTAGAGGGTCTTTTGGGACACATTTATAATATTCTGACATTTCATCAATAGCAAAGAAATGCCAGGAGTGTTTGAATCCTTTGCAAGTTGTTGTACAGCTTCATCCAAACTGGGAACATTCAATGCTCAAAGGAATGGTTGGCAGCTTGTGACTTCAGCCCTTACAAAGCCAGACTCCAGAATGGAATTCTAAATTACAGGACAAGATAGAAAATAGCTTTTTATATATAAAAAAAGAAATATGGTATGCACCACCATAAGTAGAATACCCTGTGTGTAGAATGTGACTTGTCATTCTACTTCTTAGAGGTGGCCTACCATGTGGTTTTGCTACTTCTGAGTTATGAAATGATCTCTAACTCACAACATACAATGCAAGATGCATATGACTTTAATAGGGACATGACATGTTTATGTAGAGAAATGCTGTGGAAAAATGCAACTTTTACTGAACAGAACATAGTATGAAACTCAGCAAAATGAATTATGGGAATGAACCAAATAAAGCAGAATCCAGGTGAATCCACTGTTTCAAAAGCATTTGTCTCTGGGATTCCCAGATCCAGGCATACGAATTAGATAGTGCTCCACTGCAGTACACAGTATAAGGCATTGTCTTTACCAATGGGTTCACACTACAAGTGTCCTGTTATCTGACCCTGTCCTACCATCTCTCAGCTGAACAGGTTAGGGGAGACAATCCCTCCTGCCCAGCTACCCATTATTTGTCCAATCAAAAACAAAGTTTCAGCAACAAATTCGCAATCACTAGACCCAAAAGAGAAAAGGTACGTAGAACTGTTTAACAAGTTGGTATTTTCCGGATGAAAAAATAGCATGTAGGATGACAATAAACTGCATGGGGGGAAATATAATCTGATAAATACTGTGACTTAATAATTGTACTGAGCACACATTTTCCTGGAAGATGAGTGAGTCCCAGGAAAGGGCTTCTAGCATCTGAGGGATAGAAAGGCCCAGTCTCATGTAACCCCCTCTGCTTGAAGGGACTGCTCCTCATCCAATCAAGGCCCATATTTACAAAGAAGGAAACTGGTTCACTTTCAAAATCACAGACTGAGACTGGAGCTCCTTTTCTCCTTTCCAGTCAGCTTTGTCAATCAACACTGATTATAATGAAGCAATATTTTTGCTCTATTAACTAATGTTTTTGCCCTAATTAGCATTGCAAGTCTGACATTCAATCTTTGTCAAGGATTATTTTGCTGGTGCTGTGGAGTTGGCTAAATTGTTTGGATTTTGGTTGTATGTATTTTCTGAGGTTTATGTGCATCCAACTGGGTTTCTAATTATTGAAGAAAATACTTTGGTGAGAAGGTGCTGATGGAATTTGGGAAATTTATTTTTCCTTGTGGAGTTTCTCTTACTAGAACTTATTATAGCAGGGGATGATGTGTTGATGCCTGCATATATTTGCAACAGTAGAGACAAAGAGTATCCCCTACCCACGAGTTGTTCTGTCCTGGCGAAGAGAAATATATTAGTTCAAAATCAGAGTAGGGCAATTTTTATGACTAGTTAATCTGCTGGAAAATGCATTCGTGGGGGAGGGCAACAAAACTATCTGCAAATTTGAATCCAATTTGATGAATACCTTTGGCAATCAACCAATAAATCAGGAAAATGTTAACTGAAAAATGTGAACATTTGTTCTGACCATTTGTTTTGGAAGAATGTTTCATTTCAAAATTTAGTTATGACAAAAACTAAAAAAGGGGATCAAAACACCAAAAAATGACTATAAACAAAACGAAAAGCTGAAGCAATTAATTTCAAATCAAATTAAACATTTAGTTGAACCTAAAACTGATGTTTGTTTTGTTTTATTTCATTATGTGAGAAATAATTTAAAAAAATCTGCAGAGGTTCAAACTGATTTTTTTTAAAATATATTCCAGGCTGGCCCCTGAACCAAAAAAAAAAAAAAAATTATTTACTCACCTATGTTCAAAACCTAGATTTCCCATGTGGCCAGACTTTGCGGACAGGAGGGATCTGAAATTATTTACTGCTTAGTAATGTAGCCTCTGTTGAAGGTTACCTTTGAGACCCTAGCCCTCTACAGTGGCAGGCTGCACTCTACAGAACTGATGAGAGTTCTACTTATAGCTGATAGAACTAAAGTGCCAGAGACCTGTGGTTTTGGAACTGATGGTCCTAGGATTCTTTTCCTGACATCAAACATGTCTGGTTTAGATTGCAATTATGTTATTTTTGCTTATGAGTTCCTTACAGTATGCAAGCCTGTAAATTTAAGTACTCCACATATGGAATTCCCATTTCAGTTAATGAGAATACTGTGCAAGATTAGGGCATGAAAGAATTGTTGTTAGCTGTAAGGGGAGAAAGGAAGGAACAGGAACATTTCAGATTGATTTGAAATTATAACACAGAAGAAGGGAAGCTTCGGATCAGCTATCCAGGAGGCATTGTGAAGTATAAGATCAATGTAATTTCCACAATGCATTTCAAAGAATCTTTTATACTTTTTTTCTAAAACATAAGGATGTAATGGGTCTATTCATATTTTCACTTACCCCCGTGTAAATCAGAAGTGACTCTGCTGAAATCAAGGGAATATCACTGATAGAAACTGAGTTAGTGAGAAGAGAATCAGACTAAATAACTCTGAAGTGACAAGAAGTACTGAGTAAAATACTAAAGAAGTGCATGTTGAATATGGAAATTGAAATTAGCTGCACTGGTTACCAGTTATCTAGTTGCCTGGCTTAAACTTATGTTACTTCTTTCTTTCTCTCTTTCTTTCAACACCTAATTCTTATATGGCACTTTTCACTATCTCTAACTGCTTTGCAGTCTTTTATGTCTTTACCCTCTCTTCAGCTCTTGGAGATAGGGCAGGCCTACACTAGTTGTTAGTGTGTCAGTGGAATTAACTGAAAGTCATACTGATCCTATGTAAGGCTGGTCAGAATCTGGATATGTGACTCAGTGATCGTCTTTCCCACTGTGTTTTTCAAAAGAGATCGGAGGGCATGGTCCATACCATCTATCATGTGGTCCCATATGGATCAGTCTGGAGTCAGGGCCTTCTTGGTTCAGGGGCATGACCTGAACAATTCAATCCTGAGTCATATAGTGGTCACTTTCAATGCACAGTATGAAGCTTTTTGTGACAATAAATCAGTGGCCATGTTTGCTTCCTTCCTCTCACAAACTCTTCTTTGTCTTTGTTCACTTTGGTTGGCCGCTCTTGTTTTATGCTTTTTATATAGTATCCTAGATATTCCACTTAGAGATAGGTACCTTAAAGATAATGCATATGATTATTCCAGTTGCTGTAAATTAATTACAAAAATAACACCAACGGTGAAAAACTAAATTTCTTTCACTTACATAGAGGAACAAACCTTTATCAGGGCAATAGCCCAGAATCCTCTGGAAACCTTTGACATTTATTATGCACCCCTAGAATATAAACTATATTTCTTATGCACCTCATAACAAGCGCAGCATTTCTAGAATATAAATCACATTAAATATGCATGCACAACTTGGAGCCCAGATTTCATGCTATATGGTTCCAGTAAAAAAGGGAGCACAGCAGACTCATTATTCTGA